ACACACACACACACACACACACACCTCCTCGGCTCCAGACAAGATTATGAGGCCCATAACTGGCTGAAAACAAGGTTTACTCAACAAAAGATGATAAAAAGTGCTGATAGCAGAATTTGTCTGATATGGCATACTCTCCACTAGCTTTACGTCAAAGCTTATATAAGCTTGCGTACATATATTTATTTATATAATGGAAACTCGTAATACAAGGAACGAATTTTGGCATAATGCTAAAAAAAAATCATGTCCAAGCTGCTGTTTTCCAGGGCATTACATACGAGACATCTGTATCTACGGAGTGGAAGACCTACCATGGATCATCAGCATGGACAGCATGTTTGCCAATAAGTTTGAGAGTAATACCTTTCCTGAGGCACTAGACTGTCTGGAGCAGTGGCACAGAAACAAGGTTCTCAACCAGGCAACTGTTCCCATAGAACCGTCATGGCTACTGGCCATACACAGCAACTACAGCAACAGCAGCAGCTACTTTAACAGCAGTGCTGGAGAATGAAATCACTACAAACATGCAGTCTATATCTAGTTGAGCTTATTTGCACTTGTCTTGTGTTGTTATGTCATAATGTGAGCATAGGAAAACAAAACCAAGGAAGACAAAATGCATTCAATATGCATTTCAAGACCATGTGTGTATACTAATATATTTATCTATGAAACTTTATCAGTGCTGTCCTTTTTTTCTAAATACAAAAATAAAATATGAAATAAAATCTGTCCATGAAGCAAAAATAATGACTAAAGCTTGGATGAAACGCCACTACCAAAGAAATGTTATTCAGTATGACATTCAGTTTGAAAAACACAACTGCTGATAAAGGTGTTGACCCTTTCTCCTATTTAAGAAGTAACAGGTGTAAACAAATAAAAGCAATTGTGATAAAGAGTCCTAACTTTCACATGATCTTGCGCATGCTGTCAGTGTGTCTGAACAATACCCGAGTAAACAGTGTTTTGCCTTTTTAAAAAGAAGGTTTCTCTTATATGAGCTACAGAATTTTCTAGTAAGTCAAGCTAGACTAAAGACATTTGGTTATGTGAATGGCATTTTTACTGGCAGATCAACTTATGCAATGACTCCTTGCAAAAAAAAATAAAAAACAACAAAATTTTTAAAAAAGGACAAAAAGTGTGTTCGGTAAACAGCAGCATGCAAGCAGAGTTCAAATATGAACCCACAAAAGAAAAAAAAAAAGAAAGAAAGAGATAAATGCTGGCTTAGATAAAGATTCAGTCTTTATCCAATAACACACACTCTGAACTTGATTCTGACAGTTCAGCCTTAGATAACAATTTTATGATGGGTACTGGATGCAAAGGGAAAAAAAAAAGCCAAAATGGCTATCACTTTTTATAGAACCTGTCCAAAACTCAGCACAAACTGCTTATTGTCTTACATGGATATAACAAAGCGTGATGTTGCATTATCAGTTATTTTGTATGTTTTACTTTGACATTTAAAGTTAAGTGAACTGTACTTTACATTTCCTAAACTTAGCAGCAACTGAATAAAGAGTGGGTAAAGTCAGGCTAATCGTATTGGCTCCAGAAACGGTGCTGCCTTATAAGCCTCTTATCAAAAATCACAGTATTCTAAGTCAGCTTCCCACGAGAAGCGCTGTAGCTTTTCTTATACTTTTAGATATTTTTGACAAAGTCAAACAACTGATCTGTCACTGTTCCAAAATGCTTTTAATTAAACAGAAATAACAACACCGACCAGCTACCATCTGCTTTCTGTTACCTCAAAATAGCCTGTGCATGGGAATTTTCCACCATAGTTTTAATGCTACTTACAACTACAAGGTCAGAACCCATAAAAGGCCTTAGGCCTACTTCATTCATATTCCCGTGTGGCTTAAACTAGGGCAATCTCAGAAGCGACTTGAAGAAAGGAACAGTGCAGTTTAATCTATCCAAAACACATCTACTCACATAATTAAATGTTGTGATATGGCATGTTCTTTATGGTTTAGTATTATTTAAATTCAGCAAGAGGTCAGTAATATTGTAAAAGCGCATTATACAAAGGTCATGTTCAACTAAAGTGATTAAACGTTAAACTTCCTCTGATCCTCAAACTAAAGTTCACATGGATTCTAGTGCAAATTGTGAATTCAGCAAAACACGGGTCAAAACATGATGAAACCAAATTTCAAACATTTGCCTAATCACATATTCCTATAGAACAACAAAGTGGTTTGTAGTGGACTATAGGAGCACTTTAGTTACATTTACATTCTCTTCAGGCTGTATTTTCTTAACAATGCTGATATTGTGATAGTTTTTAAAAGTCAACATGCTATAATTTTTTTTGTTTAAAAAAAAGCAACCCAAAAATAATAAGATATTTATCTGTGTGTATTCTACGAACGTAAAACATTGCCAGAGTTCACTTACATTTTTATTACTAGCCCTTAAATACCGAAAACAATGTGAACATGATGTTTTTTTTTAATTTCTATTTATGTCTTCTCATGGGAGCATTAAATCATTACACTTCAGTGTAACTTGCATTCTTATCCATCTGAGCAACCAGTTGTGCATCTGGAACAAAGCTAATACCAGACTGCTGCTATCTTATCTACATTTTTATCAAACCTGCCTATTTACAAATCATTAGCGTTGAAAATTTGCTGAGTGTGACCTAAACTAGCAGCATTAATGCCAAACACCCAAGGTCAATGATGGGGAACAGTTTAATGGCAGTAAGGATTAAAAGTGTCTTAAGAATTTTTTTAAAAATTCTGTCAGAGTTGACAACCCACTGAGGCTAAATAGCCTGGGAAAATAAATAAATGAATGTTGCCTACCTTGTGGCAGATTTCTGTCTTGACTTCCTTCAAGGCCCTGTCTGAAAAGACACAGCCACAAGTCTGGAGGTAACAGAACCTAAAAAACAGAGAAACACTTATATGAAATTGCTAAACAGTTTCCACCTTTATCACTTTTAGGGCCATTCACCAAAAATAAATAAATAAATAACAGACGCAGGGCTGGGAGCTGTACTTCTTTCTAACTTTATGTGATCTAAAGTTAGGTCCATACGTTTTTGGGTTATTGACACGTTGTAATTTTCCCTCTGTACACTACCGCCTTTCTTTTCCACAACTGACAAGGTCCCACAACAGCATAACAGCAAAAGTAACCCACAGACGAGTTGTTTGTGACACTACCCCCTGGTGACAGGAAACAGCTACAACATGTAGACAAGTCTGTGGCATAGCATCTTTGTTTTTCATCTTTGTTTCTTAACCATAAAGAATTTTGACCTCATTCACTTTAGTTTTCCTCTGTGGCCTTTCAGGCTTGATGGAGTTGCAGAGCAGACTAATGCTTTCTTCTTTTCAGTAATGTACCTGATTGAAGATTTGGCCACTCCCAAGGTTTTTGATTTTTCTCTGATAGGTTAGTTTTGTTTTCTCAGCCAAATAACTGTTTTCTTCACTTGCATCAACATTTCTACCAAATGCATTTTGTTAAACTCCAGAATCAAAGATACAAATCTGTACTTCCATTACATTTTGATTATTTAACTAACGCTGTGTTCCAGACACCTCAGAAGTCAGAACTCAGGAGTGACATCACTCCTGAGTTGAGTGTGATTCAGTCAGAGAAGACAGTAAAAACAATATGTCTTATGCCTTGCTTCTTAGTAAGATAGAACTATTCATCCATCATTAACAAAACAGAGCAATACTTGTTTTTCTTTGACTCAAAAACACTGCTGCAGCATGGTCATGGATCGAACCTTGTAAGTGCTGTGTGAATGGATTATTTAACGAATCACAAATACGAAACAATACCAGCACAGGTTAAAAGTTTTACACTTTTAATAACGTTTATGTTCAGTCCTGCCATCTTACAATTGTTAACTTGTGGGTGGCGTGTCTACTTTGAATTTCTGAGTTGGAAATTTGAGTTGAGAGGGCGTTCCAGATGAAAGTTTCCACTGGGAACTTGAAAATTCTGATTTCCAACTTAATCTCAAATGCGGTATTAAAGTACGATGTGGTTATGTACAGAGGTAAAATAAATTTTTTTTAAAAAAAATTTAATTTTAAGAAACACAGAATTGTCCAGAAATTCATAAGTATATCAGAAGCAAGATAGACAAATGCCATCATATGTTTTGTAGTGAATTTCAAACATGTATTTAGTATATTAAAATTAACTTAGATACAGTGACTTGCTCCTTAAAACAAAGAGAGAACATGAATTGTCAGTCTTATTTTTTCATTCTTAGGTTTAGTACCTCTTCACTCAGGTTGCTTACCGGTGTTTGCCATTCATTTCCAACCCAACTACAGGGCAAATAAACATGCCACAATGAATGTCTTCATATCTGTCTCCCTTTGTATTTCTTCTTTCTCCTTCCCATTCAGGATTATCAGTCAAGTTCAGCTCCTTTATATCCTTCAGAGAAAGCAAATAGATAGATTTCCTGTTTGAAACCACGAATAAACACACAAATATGTGTCCAGAAACACATGGGCTGAAGTCCTCCAACTGTGTAAATGGATAATGTAGCTCTGTATCTTATTAATTACAAAAACAAACAAATAAAAAAACAAGTTAGATGTTCACACTTCGGTGTTAATATACCTTGATCCCACGGATGTGTGTTACAGCCTCAGCATTGGGTCTCTCAGCCGACTTATCCAGGAGATACTCAATGACAGCATCTTTGTTGTACAGTCTGAAAAATAACATGGGCCAGACCACCAGAACATAATGTGGTGTAATGAAAATATGAAAAACTGTACAGTCTTAATTCATGTCTGATTTTTGTTATTTGTGAAACGGTGTTTATATCTTCGCGCTGTCACATCATCGAGCGATACCGTGTCCAAACATCAACTAATGCCCGAGTACAAAACAAGACAAAAAAAATAACTCACCTTCCCAGTTCACAGGAGACGATGGGTCGTCTAAGTTTCTCTTGACTCAATGCACAGTACTTCCATTTGGCAGCCAGTTCAGCATTTTTATCAACCTGTTTATGTAAGAAGACCGTGAGGAAAGAATACGCCATGTAGCTTCGTCTAAAACACATCAAGTTAACTAACGTTCTGAAAACTCACAGCAACTACATAACGTACATTAGAAACCACATTCAAATACCGTAATATGTATTCTTTTTATTTTCGTGATGAAACCCCGAAACTTAATAATACTTTATTTAGCCCGTTAGCATTAGCAACTTGTTAGCGTTCGAAAAATATCGCCAACAGGGATATTTTCTATTTAAAAACGGAAGGGAAACTGAAGCCACGTAAAGCTAACACACCTTCTCGATTTTCTTGGGCCCTTTCACCAACTCGTGTCTTTTGGGAATCGTGCCACCATCACAACCCATCTTGAAAGCTCGCTTCTAACTAGTTAGCTCAAACAGTCACACACAAAAAAACAAAATGCTACTCTCATCAGACAGGAAGTTCTCGGGTTGTAAACAAACAACGAGATCTCACTAAAGCTCGCGGGATGTGCAATGAATTCAACGTCGCCCTCTAGTGGCTGAATGACTAGAAGTTCAAACGCTGCATGTGTATCTAATAGCTTCGGCCGTGGTGTGGCAGCATCGCTCTAAATGTGAGTATATTTATCTAACTTGAGGCTAGAGGAATAGAAAGAAACTACATATATATTTTTATATTGACTTTTTTTATATTTTGTTAAATGTTTTGTTTATTTTTTTCACAGCTAGTTTATAATGACTTAATTTAGATCAACTAAAATCACATATTTATACTGTCTAGCATGTAAATACAGAATAAGAAGGTGATATCAAAGTCAGAATAAGAAATTGTCACAAAACATATACTATGCAAAAATGCACATAACAAAATAAACAAAAACAATCCAAAGGTTGTATGGTTCCATAGCTTTTGCTAAACTATAGCGCTTTATGACCCCGCAGTCAAGCACACAAACATAAAACAACTTCACACAGACTTTCATTGTCCATCCATCTCAGACATTTTCAGTCAGCCATTAAACCCAGAACTAGTAAGTGACATTAGTCTGGCTTTCAGGCCTCTTGTCAGAGTGGTCTAAAGATGAAAGTTTCCTTGGAAGATAGTTCAGTGAGTGCTAATGAGATCTGTTTCCTGTGCCTTGCAGGCTGCAGATTAGTTTACTATCGATAGTGCTGTCCAAGAGCGACCATTAGTTTGGGGAATACCTCAGTGGAGACATCTCTGGCGGCATGACTGATAATCGTTGTGGAAAAGAAGAAGGAATAAAAACCCAGCACTAGACTTCATTTTCGCCCAGAAAATAGATTTCAACCTCTTTATGCTCACCACACACTGGAAGCCACATACAAAATACAATACATTACCCAAAATAAGCAAAATTAACAAATACAAACATAAAAACATTTTTCCATTTTCCCTGTTGGTTCGATTGGTTCTTCCTGTAATTTATAAATTGTGTTATGTGTCTTATTGAATTTCCTCCCTTTCTCACACAGAGCTAAATGTTTAGTATGGATTTTCATTAGAGGCAATGGAGTGAAAGCTCTGTTAGCAAACTATCTTTGAGAGAGTACAGTGCCCCGGGCTGAAGCAAATCAACACCTCAATGCACAATGGCCAAAGGACAAAAGAAACCTGGTGTGATCTTCTATCACTTCTATCACAAAAAAGAGGTTGTATGTGTGTGTGCGTGCACGTGTGTGTGTGTGTGTGTGTGTGTGTGTGATGTACGTAACTAACCTCACCTCATCAGTGGATACATTGTTGTATTTTGCACCTTTCATTTCTATCTTTTTTTTTTACCATCTTTTTATTTATTTCTTCATTTTTTGAATTATTTTGCATGTTTTTTGCACGCAACAGAAACTCAAAATACACACATGTAGCAGGATAAGTCACCAGACACTAGCTTTAATCGAATTAAAAAGAATGTGAAATTATCACATATAAAAAGTAAGAATAGGGATAGTGCAAGTCTGAATGTCCATATGTTTTCTAAATCTTAAGAAGTGACTGGATATTGCAGGCGCAAGGTCTATTTTTAATTACTGATTGCTAACTGATAAAATAATGGCACTGCAGTGGCCTAATTGCAAAATAATCCCTCTTTTTTACATCTGGTCTGAAAAAGTGCATACAGATCCTCACTGTAATAATCACAGCTTCTGTGCTTTCTAAGAGTTGAATCTGATTAGTTTCCACAGCTGAAATGCCGCTTCCTCTTTTACAAATATCTCCCTCTGATTGACCTCCCTCCCACGCATATCTTGGTGGTGCTACCCAGCACGGCTGACCCAAAGAAAACCCCAACCACTAAGCGCCCATCCAGCCTCATGTTTATACTTCCATGATGAGTCCAACCTGCATAATCAGACTTCCAGTGACTGGCCTTGAACTGAAACTGTATACATCTTAACCATCCCAGTCATCCAAAGCAGCCAGTGGAGACTAAGACTGCATTAATTGCATAGACCAGCCCTGGTATTGCACCGAGTCCAATGCATTTAGCGTTTCTAATTGGGGAGGAATTGCTGTGTTTACATTGGCGCTAGTTGATAGAGCTGGACTCTTAGCCCTGCAGCCAACCAAGCTAACGCTCTCTGAAGGAGAAAAACCAAACTGCCTAGTCCCTGAAATCTCTCTGGACAGAGCTGGAAGGAAATTATTTGGAACAGAGCAGAGGGCTATTTTCTCAGATTTATCATGGGGGATGGTGAGAAGGTAAATCTTTCTTTCTTTTTTTTCCTCTGGCAGATTTCACCTTAAAAAATGTGCAGAGGCAAGAATGTGATTATTTGTAGTAACTAACGAAATGCCATCCTGCAATGGGAATAGCTGCCACAGTTGATTAATATCTGTTTTATGCATTTATAAATAATGACATGACTTTTTTCCAAAGCCCAACTCTTTGAAAAATAACATGCCAAAAATAAAAGATGTTAAATTTATAGATTTATGAATGAAAGACAATCTTGTTGTATCTCAGAGACTGCTGGATAAGCAGGAGATTTGCCAGCATTATTCAGTTTTCAGTGAAATATTTATTGTTAATGATTAATTGTGATACATTTTACATTTCAAAACTAATCATGCCTTGACAGCTCGCATCCTTTTAATTTCCTGAATCCCATCAATTAATTTTATTTGTCTGCTGCCCATACAGGAATAATATAATTTAAAGGCTGTTTTGACATCATTTCACACTTTTCTGGAACGACTCCTGTGGACAGTGACGCCCCACCGTGTGCATGAACTTTCAGATTTCAACTGCAAATCTACCTTTACCATAAAAATCTACCTCAATAAAAATCCTGGCAAATGAAAAAATATTTCGTGAGTTTAGGTTGAGCAGGGAATGCTGCTGTACTCAGTCAACTCTAACAGCACGTATCCAGCCATATACAAGTTCATGTACCTAACATAAAATGAGAAATCCAAAACCCTGGAAAAAGAACACCACATCCAACATGAAGACTGAAACCAACGGGTTACCACACACCAGTCGACCACAATTATTTTCTCATTCCTTTTTCTGTTTATGTTGAAACTCACATAGCTAAAATTATGTCAGTTGGAAACACTGGCCATAACTAATTTTTCTATCCTCTTGGTCTGAGCCATGCTAGTGTTATTAACCCTATTGAGTTTTTGCCACATATTGATACAGACTCTTGATAGCTTGTACGGTAAATTATCTCATGTCATTTGGCATCAAGTCCTAACCACACAATTGTCATTGTTTAAATGATCAAAGATCAAATTAGACTTTGCTTTTATTGCTCAACTTTGTGCAGGAATGATAAAGAAAAACATGCCTAATGTTGTCGTAATTCCTCCTGCAGATGATTGCGGGACATTTTTCCCTGTCGCAGCAGCCAGCTGTGTGATAGTTTTGATCCACTGGCTGCACTGAAGTGTACAGCTCAACAATTTATTTACCACAAATTTCATGAAGAACTGGGACCTTTATGAGCCCAGCCAAGCTGACACACAGAGCCATGCGGCAGCACACAAGCGCAGTCCACCTGGATGCATTTTTACCATCACCCAGCCAGTTTATGATTATCTTTTCCACTGTGGCAAACCAGACTGAACACCCACCAACAGATAAATGGATACATGCACGGCCACATGCATTCGCAGTCTCTAAAAGCAGACGTGCTTATGATACAGACACACACACGTTCCAGGGTTCCTCCTTGATGGCTGTGACCCGGTAAGGAAAGTCTCCATACATCAATAGAAGGTATATGAATGGAACAACTCCTTGTGTGCTGGCAGCAAAGACTCAGTCACAACTCGTTAGCCTGACAGGCTAGCAGAAAGGTTCTGACAGCATCCTGGCTGTGATCGGTGTGGCCTGGGGTGATGGGGACATACCTGTGGCTGCTTTGTGTACTCTGTGGGCACGTGGTGAAGACTGAGCACACGTAGCAGCTGAAGCCTGGCAGCAACAGTAGCTAAGGGTCTAGGTGTCCACGCCAGCCGCCGCCTCACCATACACGTCTTCAGCAATAACAAAGTTCACTCTCACTTTTTTCAGCATTTTCTACACCCAATTTCACCTTCTCGTGCCCTCTCTCACTTTCTCCTGCCTTCACACACTCACACAGACACACACAGATTATAGCCATAAGGGGAAACAGTGAATCTAAGCACTGCTGTGGTACAGTGAGCTCAGTGCTAAGTTTGGACACTGAGCAAAAATCCATTTGGAGAGCAGTTATTATTTCAGTTGATTAACCAGATTTTGGGGTTTTAAATATATAGATTTGTTGGTCTTGTTGGAAGTAGTTTGACAGTTTGGTTACTTTCTTTCAAAGAGTTAGATGGTAGGAATTGTAGACTAGTCCCCTTGTGCAGTTAGTAGGCCAAATAAATATGGCTACACCCAGTGTTGGGAAGGTTACTTTTAAAATGTATTCCATTACAGAATACAGAATACATGCCCCAAAATGTATTCTGTAACGTATTCCGTTACGTTACTCAAT